GATAAATCTGGGGTTGACTTTTTTTTTTCCAGAGAAGTAAAGACAAAGGTAAGAGCAACAGTAACAGCAGCAAATACATCAGCAGTTGCAGTGTCTAGATCACTTCCTGGAATGAGATATGAATAGGCACAAAATATAATCAAGTGGTCTCTAAAGATTAGAATAACTCTAGATATTACGTTCCATCCCAATGTTAGCTGGCTGTTAAACTTTAATGGCAAATCCTTCTGAAAATGGAAGTGCCACTTTCTACATGCTTCTGCACAAGTACAACTTTCACACTGCTTATTCATCCAGTCTCTGACTTTCCTTCCCCAAGAAACAAGCAGAGCCCTGCACTTGTGCTGGTGAGGCTGCTGCTTCCTAACACCATTTGATTGCAAAAAGGGGAGTTTGGAATGGTGATAGCAATTTGGCATTTAAAAATAAGTATAATTAAGCTGTGCAGCCATATCAAAACCCAGAACTCTACTTCTACCTGTCACTAGGACAGTTGCAAAACTCATTCAATTATCTGCTAATCTCGCAACTACTCCTTAGTTAAAAAAAATAAAAATAAAAAAAAATAAAGTAGGAACATATCACAGAAGGATACCCCGTGGCTTCTCATCTCTCCTTGAGATTTTACTTTCCCTGCTCATCATTTTCATTTTTTTTAATAGCTAAAGAGTAGGAGTGCTACAACAGTGATGTTAGTATACTAGAGCTTCGGAGAGTTATTCGTTTCAGTTACATTAACAGAAAACTATGCAAAGATCATGGTCTTCTTTCTGAATATCCACTTAGAAAGAAAACACTATAGGGCACGAAATATCAATTTCCACCATTTCAAAATTCAGTTTGTCAAGTCAGTTCCTTTACATCTGTAAACCTGGAGACTGGAAGACATTTACTCAGGTGAATAACAAAGCATGTATTGCACATACATAAAATTAAACATGCACTTAGAAAACCTCTAACACAGAAATAGGATTAAGTCAGGTTTGAATGGGAGTCTAAAATGTGTCCTACATCTGAAATTCTATTTTTTGAGAGTTGAAAAATATTTAGACTGAAAGAGTACATTTTCATATTTCAATTCTAATTCATCTGTTTTCCAGCAACTGAGACAATTTCATTTCTGAAATACACAATGAAGTAACTATGTTTTATGTGTTCGTTGGATCATTGCTCTACAGATGAGACAATACTCAATCTGCAAAGGCTAAAGACAAATCTCTTCTAAAAATTAGAGCAGACTACATTATTCAAACCTATGCAGCAGGCATTCAAGCCATACTATGAGAGATGCAGGACAGTCTGCTGCAGGATGTGCTTAATACTGCAAACGGTAAACATTCCTACTTATTCCAGCTGCACCACTTGGTACAAACCCTCAGCACACACGCATCCATCTTCATCAAAACAGGGTGAGTGGTAGTAGTTTTATGACACTGAGAGCAAATAGTTAAGAAATTACAAAATACTTTGGATATCTACGGCTTTATGAGCTTAGAAAAGATTTGTTGTATTCATAGCTAAACAAAGCTAAACAGATGAATATAAATATTGTCTTTTTCAATGGGTTGGGTATAATTTAAGCAAATAAATCACCCATATTAACACGTACTGCTTTAATAATTTCTCCACCGCTTACATCACTCAAGATAAAGGTCTTCATTACATTTGAGCAATCAATACCTGGAATCAAGTAAGATATGTTTCACTGGGAAAAATGAAAGTGAATATGGCTAAATTAATGCTGTCACTTTCTATAAACAGTCAATGGTATTCCACTCTACCAACCACTAACTTCATTATTTTACAACAGGAAATCCACCCTGTATCATATTTTAGAAGACTAATTTACTTAGAGTAATAAAAAGATACCCTCAAGGCTCATCATGTTTGTCATATTACAACTAGTTTTAAATATTCCAGCTTAAGAACAGTACATAAAATTCCAAGCAAATCAAACTGATTAATAACTGATAAATTGATTTTTTCTTTCTATTTTCTTGCTGGTATCAAAGATCTGCAGTGGAAGCACCAATACTGTATTGATACTGTACTGTACCAGCATAAGCTCTCCCTCAATTCAGAATATTCTCTTCCCACAGTTTGTCAAAGAAAGAAGAGAAAAAAGTTAGGAATATGCTTTTATTTCTAGTATTCATCCTGCTTCATAGTGCCTTTTTGCAGGAACCTCATTTCACAGGGACGCTGCTGGAAGGCAACAAGCACCATGTGAAAGGTCAAAAGGATGCAACAAGGTCACAAGGGAAAATTGGTTCGGATAATAAAAAATATATATTGCAACCACACAAGCTCCAAGAGATCTTTGCCCCTTTTTCTCCTCTGTAGCTTTGTGTTTTTACTAATAAACACTTCCAAACTATGTAAGTGTTTATTCCTTAGCTGATGAAGTTTCTTAAAATGTGGAGCTGCTTAAGCAGCATTAACCAGTCCCTCCACTGCACTTACTTAACTTAGCATTAACCAGTCCCTCCACTGCACTTACTAGTTGTGGCACTACGCTTGACAAGCATTCAGCCTCCCCACGACGGAGCAGGCATCGCTACTCAAGTCTAAGGTGTGATATTAGTCCTGCTTTCCTTGTAAACCCATTTTAATTCTAAATTTTAAGTCAACAGCTAGCAAATTACTTCATGTAACTTTATATTCAGGCAGGTCACATACTAAAATTAAAATAATTCCTTGTTTTATATAACCTCCATTACAAAAACAAATTCTGGCAAAACAGCACTGGTTGATCTTCAGGGTGATATCTATCATCTTCCTGTTTATGAAAAAGGCAAGATTAAAGACCTTTTTTAAGTATTCTGTGTCCCAATTATCTGCAAGAGCTGATAGGTGCACACCCAGAAATACGATCCCTTCCATCTGATGGGCTGATAAAACTTTAAAGCTCTGTATTAAACTAGCTGCATATCTGCATTGTAAGCACTTGATCACTCCTGTATTCAGCTGCCTATAAAAAAACTGCATAAATAATATTTAATTCTGTTTTCAAACTGCAGTAGGTCAGAAGAATGCTAATTAAATACAAATGAAGTGGCCTTTCTGTGCTGGTGTGGGCGGGAGGGGGTGGACAGAGAGAATAAGCCCCAAAAATCAAAACATAAAATGAATAGATTTGAAATTTTTAAATAAAATTTTACTTCAACAACATTAATGTATTTTAAGGTCTTACATACTCCAAGAGCCACAAATCTCTATAAATCAATCCTTTTATTTCTATATCTAAAAAAGGATTAAGATGACAACTTTTAAGCAACCAAGTCTAACCATTTTGTACCGGCTCCTAAGACAGTATAAACAAAGACATCAGCTTAAAGCAATGAGATGCTGTCAACTTATACTCTGAATCTGTCCTTTCAACTGTTTATTCTAACAAAGACAATGACAAATCCCACGAATTCTGCATTTTCTGCAGCTAGAAGCAACCATGAATAACACACACAAACAAATGACAGAGCGATATATTAATAAAAGGAACAACTTTGTGTTTAAAAATAATGCATAGACTCCAGTGGGAGGTCTTTACATTAGCTCTCAAAATACAAATGGTCATCATTCTTCCAACTGCAGTGCAGACAATCCTGTTTTAAAAGCCCCTCATCTACTCTGGATAATAGGCTAAAAGTAGAATGATTATGTACCATATCACACCCCATCCTAATTTTTTTTCGCTAAGGGATGTGTCATTTAGGTGTTAGGATCTTACCTTATCCAGAAGCCACTATCAAACCTTTATAAGAAAATGTGGGACACAATTTTTCTATCCCTGTTAACTCAACACGTTATAAACAGAAAAGTAGAAAACACAGGTGGGGCAAAGTACAGAATGGTAGGGAAGTTTATTTATGGAAAACAGTTCTGCCAATGAATTCATTTCCAAAACATCTGGGGAATGAATAAGTCTAAAATTATGATATTTCATAAAAAGTAAGGCTCTTTCTGGAGTTTTTTGACCCATTTTTTCTACACTCATGAATTGTTTTTTCTGTAAACAATAAGTACCATTTCAGCACCAGTTTGAAAGGGCACTTTTCTGGGTAGTTAATTTGATTCATCCTCTACCATGTAGCTTTCAGTAACTTGCAAAGCTGTGGTCACTTGCTGCTACAGCCTTGCATTTCTATGGGGCACTATACCTTCTGCCAATTAAAAGTAAATCACTATTTTTGTTCTATCTGTGATCAAATCCAAAATGCTCACCAATTTTCCTTTCCTTCTGATTATTTCCACAACGATATTAAATCTCTCCGAACCCTCTTGAATTAGTAGGACTCTGTGGACTCTATCATTCCATGTCCCAGGAAGAGGAACACAAAATTCCCTGTTGCAAGTGACACCACATGTTCCTTATGACGCTTCATATCAAGACCTTATTTATTGTAAAATTGTTCTGAATGCACCTTGAGTCAACTTTGGTTATTGTTATTAATGAATAAAATTCTAGGTAATTCAAAGTGTAACACTGATTTAACCAACCATGAAAGAAAGGACCAGGTTTTACTCAAGTCTCAAGTAAAACATTTTATTTGAAGCATACTACTCTTGCACACACAGATCAGGATCATAAATCTATCAGCAAGAGTCTTGTTGGCAACTACCCAGGCGGCGGCAGTCATTTTAAGTATCTAGATAATCAAATGGGTCTGTTCTTGGGGTTGCACAATTGGGCATCTTCCACATCTAAAAAACCACTTCCATTTGATAACGGACCATATGAAGCGATCCACAAGAAGAGGCCAAATCCTCAGCAAAGGCAGCATCTCAAACAGCAGTAAGCAAGCGATCAGCAAATGCAGTGCCCGAGAGCAGCTCTTGGTCAAATGTCAAAGGCATTTAAAACTATCAGGCTACAAAATGCACAGCGCTCTTCCCTTCATAAAAGAACTTTGCTGTTTCCCAGTAATTGCACTGAACACATTTCTTCATATTTCTAAAAATATAATGCCTAGCTGAAGATATCCAGCATTTGTCTGACTTACCAGAATAACGGTGATGTTGTTCCTCTAGGAATTCTAAGTCAAGCATTAGGTCATCTTCATCCAGCTCACAGGAACCCAAGTTATTCAAGACATCCTGACATTAAAAAAACAGAAAAGTTGACATTTAGACTGATTTTTTTTTAATCAACTTTAGGCCAGTGGTAAAATTTATGAACTGTCCAAGTAGAAACATATCTGTCACTATTCTGGTATTCAAAGAAGCTTGAATACTTATCTGCAAAACACAATTAGAAATAATGCTGTCCTTATAATTTCATTCTTATACTATTCAACTTCAATGATTATTTATCTATTTGTAAGTTTAATCCTAGCTTTTTATGATGCATAAAGCAGTTACTTTATTAGAACACAATTATCAGTACTTGATTTCCACTAAAACTGTTCTTTCTAAGCACTATATGCCTTTACTAATACTCTCTGAAGACAGAATTCCTGTTCCAGGACATGGGCGCAAAGAAACACAAATTTAGGAGAGAGAACAAATTCAGGAAAAAAGAATCAATTAATGAATTATTAAGGTGAATATAAAGGCTCATTACACTGTCAGAGTAGAAAGCCTGAAATAAAAGACGTAGTTACCTAGTTCTCCATTCCCTTTTTATTATTCGTTATATTTTCTAAGTTCAGGTAAGTGGGGTTTGTACAATACGTCCTTTGAAAAGTAAAAAGGGATGTGGCAACTGTATTCCAAAGAGAGTGAAAGAGTAACTTTTGCACTAAGCTTTCCTCTATAGAACTAGCTTCTCAGAAGGCAAAACAACTGAAGCCCCACTTAGACAGCCGGTGTCAGACTGACTCAATGAACAAGTAAGAGGGAAGAGAACTCCTTGCAGGGACCACTGGCTGAGATAGAAGAGAGAAGAGGAGAGAGAGCCTAAGAAGAAACAGAAGGAAATTGCTGGTAGCAGAGCGTCATGCCTACCTCCACCTGTAGCAGCAGCACTCACGTATTCATTATTGCCCATTCCTGGACCCACAGCAGCCAATTTTGGACAATGAGCCGAGGAAGGAATTGCAGAGTGAGCACTTGACACGGACGGCGCCTCTATTTATAGAGGTGTCAATTACATTAATTCAGCTGCTTCCTTGCTCTCCAAGAAGCGTTTGTTTGCAAGAAGTCATCCCAGGGATGTGGAACAGATACAAGCTCAGAAAGAGATCTAAAAACAGACCCAAACAGAGAAACACAAGCTGCTTCCTGGGGCTACCTGTAACGTATTTCTCCAGAGGCGATGATAAAAGACCCATTAAACGACTTGCCTAATGGCGCCGGTGAGCAATGCGGCTGTGAATGCATCTCCATGCCCTGCCTTGCTGTGTCCTTTCCAAGGACTGCCTTTTTTCTTTTCCCCATCATGCTACAATTAGTTGCAATATTAATTTCTTTTTAAGTTTAATATTTCCCGGCCCTTTCCCTGCTCTCCTCCTCGGCATTGCTACTACATCCTTTGAAAAAAATAATACAATAAAATGAAAGAGAGAAAGAGAATGTGTGTGCTCAAAATGAATAGTTTGAAGGCTCTGTCATAGAAAGAATGAGAACTGAGCACTTCCACCAAGGTTCCAAGGGAATGCTCACTATCTATTTGTGGCAACACACCTTTTATTTGTTCCAGGAGCTAAACCGTTCTGTGAAGGCAGCAGCTCTGTAGCAAAAGCTTCTTTATTGGCTTTGTAATAGCTTCTTAGGAGCTTTAAGAAGTTTTTCCTCCTTTTGGAGTCTTTGATTCCCAGTTGACTTCTACCACCTCTTTGTATTCATAGTGACAGCAAAATTAGCACAACTGTGTTTCTCATTTTCCATTCATCTGAACATTTGTTATACCACAGTGTCTCGGTCTTTGATGTCTGGCAGCATCTCGAACTGCAAATCAACACTGCCTGAGCAGTTGCTACAAAGCACCACTCAGGACAGTCATCCCTGCAGCACTGGTTTGGGCTTGCAGCTGCTGTGACATCATATATATATATAAAGAAGTGCTATTCAGGGTGCTTGCACAGTGCTTTTATTATGGTCCTCAAGTACCTGTAATCAAAACCATTGATCCTGATACTTTCTCCCTTATTGCTATTTTAACAAATGAACTAAGAGAAAGCTGAAGAGACTTACGCTAAGATCATACAGGAGGAGTGGGGCAAAACAGAGAATAAATTCAAAACTACAGAATCATGTCCTACAAAACGCTGCCTTGCAGCCTCTGTTGGCAACCTTATCAGTTAGGGAGGAAGAGCAGAAAGAAGGCATCATAGCCTGCAAGTTTAAATTGCTTACTAGACCTCAAGACTTCAAAAGTCCTGAACAGTCCCCAAGCAATAATCATAATTTTTGTTCGGTATCACTGAAAGGAAATTGAAGTTGGTGTCATTTGTGTAGAAGAACACTGAAAAACACTGAGGGATGTGAGGCCAGAGAAACTTGCTGTGGATACAGAAAAGTGGTGGTCAGAAAAAAGTCTGCCTGCCGTTGTTTAGAAAAGCAAAAGTTTGTTAGAGCTAAATTTCCCTCTTGATAGCAGAATAGAAAATGAAAAGAAACAGAAGCAATTCAATACCAGGTTGACTTGGGATCACATGTTAATTAGAATAAAATTGCCAAATAATGTATAAAACTCTCCAAAGATACTGGTAATGACAGAGAACCTGTGCATGCTGTCTTTAGGACCTTGCTAGTACTATATCATTTCAGTGCTGTGGGAACTATAATTCTGCAATAGAAATGTGTGAAAAGCAAATTCAAGAAATGATTCGTTTAATTGGTTCCATTTATTGCTGAATGTTTGAAATGTGCAAATTTGTCTCTTGCAACCATATGTTCCTCTTGGTTTTGAGTACTATTTGCCAAAGTTCAGTGCTGTGCAGGCTCATCATGCCTTGTTTATACATCGAGCAGTTAAATAGGATTTCAGTAGGTCCATTTTCACTTTGAATTGCATTCTTAAATGCAATTATGTGCTTTAGTGTATTTGTATATTAACATTTATGTTTTATTGACAGATTTTGAGTATCAGATAGTGCATTTTGAAATGAGTACACATAATTCCATATGCAGCAATTTTACTGTTTATTTATATGTTTAAATCAGTTACTTGGGCTATCAACCAAAAAAAGCCTGCCATGGTAAAAGAAGCTTCATAAATTAAGAACTTGCTTTTTTGTTGTTTCGTTAAACCTAAGAATAGATTTAGGACCTCTTCCATTGGTCACTTGTTACATTTGCTCTTAAAGTTGTTGTTATTTATGCCGTTTTTCAAAGTCTTTCTCAAAAGGCTTGAACTGTGAGCTGAAACAGGACTAAAAATAATGGAATACTTTACTACTTGGTAAAGGGATTGAGAGTTCATATGCTATGCAGGAGGGTTCCTTTGAGCCATTATAACAAAGGGAGCTAGAGGGAGGAAAGGAAAGGAGGTGGGAAGGAAACCACCTTCAGCAACATTGAATAAACTGACTATCCAGACTCACATGCACCACTGGCATAGCTAGTAGGTCCCTGTCCATGCACTATTTTAGCCTTTTATCAAAGCATATCCATGCAGATCTCTGCATCTCTTCTTTCTAAATTAAAACTGTTCTTAGGTTGTATTTCCTAGTTAAGAAGATCTAGGCCCAGTCAGACTAAGCTGAGTCCCATGGATTTCACTGAGCTTTTAAGGCGGTGACTGGCATGTGCATGACGGAGTAGTTCATTTGGTTTGCTGTTGTGGAAGGAACTCGTGATATAGAAGTTGTTATTGAATATATTAAAGTCCCACAATATTCTTGGATTAATATAGTGTTCCGGTGCAGCCTTTACACAAACTATGTACCAGAGCAATTCTCAGAAGCTGTTTCAACTATGTGTGTATGTCAATGCACAAGTTGCTTACTTGTCATCTGAATTAATAATATTTAAAACATCCTCCCTAAATCCTTGCTTTTCCACCTGCTTAAAGAAGCACCCAGTTCAAGTTAGAACAAGAGTTACCAAAACCATGTAGGCCTGAAGCATGTTTTAAAACAGCAAAACCAAAGCAAACCTCAAATTCAGGCACAGTTCCAAGACCAAGTAAATCCATTTCCATGCACCTTCAACGGAAAATAGTATTTACCATGTTAGTAATTAATATTAGAGATTTCCTACACACAGACACACTGTGAGAACATGAGGGGCTATTTGAGACCAAGGCTTTGCAAGAGCAGAAAGATAATATGATCAAGAAATAATAATTTGATTATTTACAAAACCATACGTATGACAATTCACCTGTATCTACCAGGTTTATTATATATCCGATGCCAAAAAGACCAGAATTAAATACTTATTTCAAGTCAGAAAGCATTTAAAGAGATTGCCAAGAGATAGTAAAATTGTACTCAGCAAAGGAACATTGCATACAACCAGTATAAGAAAGAAAAATCTCAGACATGCTCAAGGAAGAGGAAAAACCTTGAGCTATTTAAAGTAATGTTAACTTAGAACTGTATCTGAATAATTCATGGACCTAATGAAGTATTTCCCCTTCTGCACTCTCCCACATACTTCAAAGGGGGAAGGCAGGGGGAATACATGAGGCCAAGCAAACAGAAAAAAAATCTTTAAAAATACAGAATTCCTGCCAACATTTGAAAAATAGCTTTATCAAATATAAAGCTTTTGGATGCCTTTCATAACCAAGAGCAGCTTGAAAGCCTTTTTATTTTTATTCCAAATAGCACCTCCTAATAATCATATTACTCCCTATTTGAATACGCTTTAGAAAGGAAAAAAAAATCTTGTAACATTTCGTAAGAACATTTTCTGTAGCTAATGTGGAAATCCATTTCTATTATAAATTAATATGCTCTTAAGAAAAAAAGGCAGAGAAAACTAGCAATGGAGGGAACTGTCTAACTACATATCTCAGATCCATCATAATAGTCTTCAAAATATTTTTTTTCCATACATGCTTCTGGCTGTGTGAGGGCAGCACATGATTTGCCATCCTGTTCTTACCGCTGCCCTTACCATCCTCTCTGTGCATTAAATCAATGTCTGCCATGATGCGTCTTTTGCCTGAGTGCTCGTAACTAATGGACTCTCCTAACACGTCTTCC